AAAGCTGTCTCTGTCTCTTCCTTCTTCTTCGATCTCCTGGATTATTGGAAATTGGGGACCCTCCCCGCTACAAAATGGCGCCCAACGTGGGGCTGGAGAACAGGAAGAAGGAAAGGTAAGCTTTTGGGGGCTGATGCCTCTCACTCGGTGGGCCGGACAAGGCATGGATCAGGGGAGACGAAAAAGGGTACCCACAAGAAAAAAATCGCCTCCACTGGCCTGTTCCTTCCTCGGCCCCTTGACTGAAGTGCATTGAGAAGTAACAGCTGCAGTTCCAGAAAAAGGGAGAAGCTAGCTTTTTAAGGTATAGGCATTTGTGGAAATGCCTGGGGAAACATTTTTGGGGGAACAGTTTTTTTCAAAAGAGGTACTGCAGACCTCAAGAAAAAAAAAAAACCCCTGAGTGTCGCTTTCACCACAGAAGGCTCACTCCTAGGTTGGGAAAAGTGCACTTTTTAAAAAAGGGAAAAAGTGTTCAGGTTGGAAACATTGTTATGTTGATCCTATGTGTTGTGTATTGTGGAATCTGGATGTGTCTATATGCATTGTCCCTTCTAGCTGCTTTGCAACCGTATGTTTGTTTCTGTTTTTGCTTTGTTTCTTTGTTAAATGTCAGTATGTTCAAAATGAAAAGAGACTAATGGTTATAGGCTTCCGAGAAAAAGCCAAAAGAAAAAAAGAAATGATGATGAAATGAGAAAAAAAAAGGAAAAGAGAAAAGAAAAATATATGTGAAATATGTGTCTGTCTTTTGGGAAAAAGGGAAAATGTTTGTTTGCATTTCCTGAAAACTTGAATGTGTGTATGGCTAGCCAAAAGAATGTGTGTAGCTGTTAGTGTTGAGAGAAATAATCTTTACAGGTTTCAAATAAAAGGAAAAAGAGGATAATTCAGGAAAAACCTGGAACCATACATATGATGGGGAAAGACCAAGTATGTGGGTAAGAGAAAAGTCACCCAAGAAGAAAGTTAAGGTATGTTGAGAATATGTTGAGAAAGCAAGGGGAAAAGTAAGTCAGAAGAGAGAGAATTTGGTTAATCACAGGAGAAAAACCAGAGTGTGTGATTACCATGTGGGAAAAGAAGTGAAAAGAGGGAGAATGGGAATGTAAAAGAAAGTCATACAGTAGTGATGAAATGTTAGTACAGAAGTAAAGAGGGATTAAAGATAATGAAAGAAAAACTGTTGAGATGTGTGAGATTAAGAAGTGTGAGAACTGAATGATTAGATTCCTTTTTGAGAAGAGAATTGCAGTAAAGAATAAATGAGTGTATGTATGAAATCAGTTTTGGGATGAATAAGATGGTTGTGTTGAGGTTGTGTGAGGTTGTGTGAGGTTGATTGTTTGCAAATGCCTGGTGGGGTTAAAAAGGGAAATTATGTGCTGAGAGTATTCAAGAATGGCCACTTGAATGCCCTCACGGGGAAAGAAAAATTGGAAAAACTTTTTTGGAAAAAAAAATTGATATTAGTTTTGAAACTGTTTGAGAGAGAGAAAAAGTAGTGACAATTTGAGATGCATTTAAATTTAGAAGATTTTGTGGGGAGAGCTGTGATGAATTGAATGTTATGGGGTTAAATTGCTAAAATATTGAGATGCTTTTTAAGGTTCAAAAATGTTAGTAATTGAATTGGTAGAAGAATGAAGATAAGCTGTTGCAATATGATGTGAAAGTGGAGGAGGATTAAGCATCAAGGAAAGAAGTACAGATTTTAAAAATGTTAATTAATTACTTGTTACAGTATCCCCCTGTTTTACCAGAGGATTTAAAGTGGCTGAAAGATCCTGGGGAGTGTGACACCTGAGACAGGAGTGAAAGGGGTCTGCTACTTGATGAATTCCTATTGGTACGAGGAAGTGTCAAATTGAGGATGAACTAAGCTTGCTTAAGAGAGAAGACTACACAGCAGAGGACCCTGACTTACAGCAAATAAACTTAAGAGTTGGATGATTGAATAAAGAACTAATTAAACCATACATAAATAAAATAAAAAGACATACTTCAAAGACTTAAAACATAAGAGAATAAAGTTGCCCTGAATAAGAGAGAGACTTGGTTTTTGAAACTGCAATCAAGCAAGAAGAAAGAAGAAAGAAGAAAGAAGATTTAATGGACTTTTTTGGTGAGGGGAGTGTGATTGTGGGACTCCTTATTATCTTGGGGTTGGTCTGGGTGGTTTACTATTATAGGCATGTTTTATGGGGGAAAGCTTATTCATTTTGGAATGTGGAATACTTATTACCTGATTGTGTTGAGTGTGATTGCCCCGAAGTTAGTGTAGGGAGGATGGGAGCAGAATATATTCCACCAGATGATTCGGGATATAGCGAATGAAACAGAAGTTACTGAATGTTGGATTTGTAGTCATGGGCCTACTTCCCAGCGTGAGGGATGGCCACTAATGGTAGGAACATTATTAAGCCAAAAAGGATGGAGCACTTTACGGCCTCAAAATTATGAGATGACTGAAACTTTACTTGATCCAGGACAAGCTATAGTAACGTATGAAGGGACTTCGCCGGAGGCCCCAGCATGCATTACTTGGGAGAAAGATGAGAG